AACTAGGAGCATCAAGCCCCGATCTGGTGAAGACTAAGACCTACTTCATTTACATCAACTTCACATCTCCAGCGACACAGATGGCGTTCACAGGCTCTGGTTAGTATCAGATTAATTTCCGCATAAGATTTAGTTAGTGATCATGTTTAGGCTAAGATAAGATCCTGTTTATGCTAAGTTCTAATTCAACACACAATGTTATTGATGTATAAATCAGCTGCCTGGTCTTTCCCATTAACTTAAGTTTTTGGGTTGAACCGGTACATAAAACTCCACTGCTGGTTGCCTATCCATTGTGGAGTTACTCTGCTTCCTACCGCTGCCACCTGTATTCATCTGCCAGATAGTGCCATGGTGGAAAGAAAAACAAGGTCTGGTGGTGAGCAGAAGCAAGGTTGGGCGGCCGAGAGGTTGAGCTTCGCTAGACGATGTTGTGCGCTGATTGATGGGAATTGGGAAGCACTAGACGGAGCAATTCTAATTTGGCAAGGAAGGGCATTGGCAGGGCTCGTGTGTGTGTGGATGAAGTTCCAAGTGCGTCGGCACAGCTGCAGCCTGTGCACAGCAGCAGCTATGTGGTGTTTGTGAATTTACGAGTTCGTTGATGGTCAAATGCTGTTCCGGTGAGAATTTGTTGTTGACTTACTTTTCATGGCAAGGTTACAGTAATCCTTGAAACAAATGGTAAAAATGCATTTGGCTCTGAAAAGTTATAGGTGAATTAGTTGGACACACAGGAAAGCAATTTCAATTTTTTCATCAGAACTAGAGTAGGCAGTCTATATGGAAGATTAATTAGTTATATACCTGCCCATCAACCCATGCTCCATCATGGCATAGATATATGGATTGTTATGCTTCATAACCTGTTACGTGGATAAATTTAGTACACATAACAAATCAAAATTGTTCATATTTACTCTTGTTTATTCGAATACGATACCCATTTAAATATCCTATAATCTCTATTTGGTATGATAACCTTGCAAATTAATCCATATGTATTTCTGTTTTTAAATATGTATTTATTTAGATCTTAATTAAAGTGAAATCATCTCTTGTTGTATCCTAGCAGTTTTGCGATGTCATGAATCTATATTTTGGCCAATATCTTCAAATGTTTGTTATAACTTAAACGTTATATCTTCAAATGCTCATTTGGAGAGAAAATGAAGGAAGCAGTACTGCTATCCATTGGGATCCTAAGCGGTGGATAGTTGCACTGAATAAATCATGACACATTGGGTAGGGGGTGGTTTCCTTTCGCCAATATATATAGCGATGCAAATGGGGAAGTAGAACAAGAGCCGTGATGACCCGAGCTGAGAGAAAGGTGAACAAAGCAAACTATGGGTGCAATAAGCATGTAGCTAGTGTTGTCTGCTCTTTCCAAAGAATGGAGTCATCACTTGGTTAGAGTAGCCTGTGTTAGCTAGGGTTGTGAGGCATCAGGATCACACATACGACTAAGGTGGACAGATCGACTAATATGGAAAAACATGGTCAGGTGGTAGGCAGGACTGCAGGAGCCAAAGGTTCAGGTGACCAAGCATTGAGATCCGAACTTGCACAACTGCATTTCTTGCATTGCGCAGAAGCTCCAATGGCCAGACCCCTATCATCCCAGTCCAGTGTAAATCTACGAGTCCACTTGACTGGCAAAGGCTATTCTGGTAGCAGAATTTTACAGCCTTACTTGTAATGGCAAAAATGCATTTGGCCTCAAAAATTACTTACTATAAGTTACAAGCCAATACGATAAAATTGTAGCAAATTAGAAACAATTATGTGGACATGCAGAGAGGTTAAATTTCATTATCCCATCAAATTACAGTGCAGGGTAAGCATCGGACATTAATTGAATATACTACCTCCGCTTGAGAAACTTGACATTTTAGTTCTCTCTAAAGTTAAATAGTCTTAAGCTCGACGTAGTTTATAAAAAAAAACTTTATTTACATTATTACCATGTAAGCATCCCTGCCCTCTTCCTTGGAATTAGCTAGCTGACTATGTCCTAGTTTGTTAATCAAGGCCTAACATCCAGGGCTTGAATGGCTATGTACACATTCAATATATAGTTAATTTAGACCTTGTAAATAAAATAGATTATATAAGTATACAAATATTTGTTTGTTACGTGCCCTAAATACACTACTGGAGGCCGCGGCTTTGCGGAGTGTTTTTACACTCGGCAAAGAGCCCTTTGCACTCGGCAAAGACTTTGCCGAGTGTAGCACTCGTCAAAGTCCCTCGGCAAAGTCCGCTCGGCAAAATTTTTCTCAGCAAAGGGGTCTTTGCCGAGTGCTTTTTATCGGGGCACTCGGCAAAATAAAAAAAGTTTTGCCGAGTGCTTGGAGCGGCACTCGGCAAAATATTTCGGCCGTTGTGGCGCCGGCCGTTAATGGTTATTTTGCCAGAGTGCCCGACCCAGCACTCTACAATTTTTTATTTTTTTAAAAATTACTTTGCCGAGTGCCCCAGCCCAGGCACTCGGCAAAGTTTTTTTTTTTTTAAGTACTTTGCCGAGTGCCCCTACCCAGGCACTCGGCAAAGTTTTTATTATTTTTTTTAAAAAAAATTACTTTGCCACCCAGCCTAGGCACTCGGCAAAGTTTTTTTTATTTTTTTAAAAAAAGTACTTTGCCGAGTGCCCCTGCCCAGGCACTCGGCAAAGTTTTTTTTTATTTTTTTAAAAAATTACTTTGCCGAGTGCCCAGGCACTCGACAAAGTTTTTTTATTTTTTTTAAATAATTTCTTTGCCGAGTGCCCCAATTTAGTCACTCGGCAAAGAATTTCTGAATTTAAAAAAAAATACTTTGCCGAGTGCCGCGGCAAGACACTCGGCAAAGAAATTTTAATTTTTTTTTTGAAAAATCTTTGCCGAGTGCCTTGCCCATGGCACTCGGCAAAGACCCCGAGAATTGCAAATTTTTTTTTACATTCCATTGTAATAGACAATATATTTATATACATCAATCATCACATCTATATCACCAACATGCATTATATATCACAAGCACACGCATATTTAATAAATCCATCACAAATGCACCAAAGTTCAACATTACAAGTTTATTACTACAAGTTCAACATCACCAAGTTCAACATCCCTACTGCGGCGACGGAGACTGCAGGTGTGGCCCCCCGAACTGCGGTGAAGGACCGGACTGCGGCGAAGTGTTGACGCGATCAGCCGCCACATGCCATTTGCATCAAATCTATCCACAGATTCATCCAAAAAACCATTTGCAGATCCCAAACAAATTCAGCCAAGATAGAGTGCAGTAGATCCATCGTGTCGTTGTCAAATCACCCTAATATGGGAGCATGGTGATGCTGGTGTGGTCGCCTGAAACCTGCAAACCATAGTTTGATTAAAAACAAGTACTGAAATAGTCAGTCTTAGTTAGCTGAGTTTGCTTCTTCCATTGCGGGTATTTTTTTAGCATAGAAGACAGAATTCTAGAAACCTACGAGTCAAGACATATTTACCTCAGACATCTTCAAGTTCAAAATTACTACTTGGTAAATCACAGGATGCAAATAGAGATATTATTACTACAGTAGTTCAAGTTCAGAATTACTACAATTATCCTGAGCATTTTCATATTACAATTACAATATAACTAATCCAGGAGACGACTCATTTATTTACCTCAGATTTCTACAATAGTTAATGTACAAAATTACTAGTATTTGATAGGTTACATGATGCATGAGGTATTATTATTTGAACAATTAATCAAGGGATTACCATGGGCATTTTCAAATTACAGCGTAACTAATCCAGGAGATGACATGTTTCAGATCTGGAAACAACAGTTGTAGTATCGGTAGTAGCATTGGTAGGAGTAGCAGCAGCTATAGTAAGAGTAATTATTTGAATTCAGACACTAATACTTGTTTGAATCAGTTACTACTAATTGTTTGAAATAGGGTGTGATTACACTACTACTTTATTCTACAATAGTGTTCATGAGAGCGGAACATGCTGCACACCTCGTTGGCATCTTCTACATTCGAACCAACCTGCATAATAATGAGAAACCATCAGAAAAAATTTCAGTAAAACACATAGGTATGCAGCTAAACAGGCAGAGCATCATGTATCATCAAGTATCGAATTTACAACCATAAGATTTAGTAGTGACAATGCCCACCATTTCCTGGTAGTAAGTATAAGCAGATGATTTGAACTAAAATATGTACTACAGGCTACCATCTGAAATTTGCTCGATGCATCAAAACTAAAATATGTAGAAGTCAATCGGCTCCAAAAAGCAATAACGTAGTATGAGTATTAGCATTGGTAGAAGTGGTATTACTATTAAAAATGCCAGCAACAGTATTTTTTCTTAATATTGAAAGTGCTATTGTCATTGTGCATCCATAGCAGTATTAAATAAGGGGACACAGGTAGTAACATTTTTTCGCTTCATAGCAGTATATGCAGCTAGCATAAGCAAATAGCACTACTACCAAAAGTAAACACTAGTTATACTACCTAGTAATATTACTGCTATGCTCAGTACTACTAGTGGATGGCGATCCAACTGCCTACATTTCATACAGTTAGGGCTCGTTCGTTTGAGTAGTTTCCGCCCCGGAATGATTCCCGGTCAAATCTGCTACGTACAAATTAAACGGACAATCCTGGCCGGAACGGTTCCCGGACGTCGTTCCCCGGGAACCGAACAGGGCCTTAGTAGGATTGGTCATACTGCTCGCCTATATTTCATAACTACTAGGATTCGTCATACTGTCGTAACATCCGTTTCTTTTAATTCTGTTACTATGGAATCACAGCTATAAAAAGTAAAGACAGTGGCTCACCATAGGATCTATTAGCCAACACGGGATTCACAGAGGAACCACTGGAGGAGAACGAAAACGCTGCCGGAGGGGTGGATGGGGATGCCACAGGAGGGGAGGTCGAGGACGCTGTCGGAGGGGTAGACGGTGAAGCCAACACGCGCCACCATCCGTTGCCTCCCCGATGGATCCGCGGAATCCGACAGCAAGGGAGCACGCGACTGCCGCCGGCAGCCGCGGTGGTGGAGAGGGGGCGCCGCCGGGTGAGAGAGAGATGGCGCCGCCGCCGGGTGCAGGGGAGGAACCGCCGCCACCTCTGGGTGGGAAGCCGCCGTCGGGAGGGGGAAGGGCCGCCATGGCCACCTTCAAGACGGGGAAGGGCCGCCGCGACCGCTGTTGGGGTGGGGCCGTGGGGAAGGGTCGCCGTCGAGGTGGAGCCGCCCGCCGCCACCACTCCCTGTGCGTGATCCAAATGGGGATGAGGAGGGAGATCCGGACCATTGGAGGCCACTGGACGTCGCCGCCACCATGGGAGGCTGGATCCGCTAGTCAGTGATGGATCGGGGTCCACCAAGCCCCGCGCTCGTCACGCCGGGAGAGGGGGCAACGTGGCACAGCCGCCGCCGCCGCCGCCGCCCCATGCCCTGATTCGTCGCTACCGGAGGGAGGGGATGGCGCCGCCACCTGCCTGCCGTGCGTGATGGAGGGGATGCCACGCCGTGTGCCGTTGGGGAAGAGGCCGATCCAGGACATTGTCGGGGCCGGCATCGGTGGTGGGTCGGGATCCGCGAGGGGAGGGTGTGGGGTAACCGCCGCCGCCGCTTCCTGATGCGGGTGGGAAAGGGAGGTAGCTAGGGTTAGGATATACTTATATGCTATCTCGCGTTTTTTTTTTAATTTACTTTGCCGAGTGCCTCTGCCCAGGCACTCGGCAAAGTTTTTTTATTTTTTTTAATAATTTCTTTGCCGAGTGCCCCTGTTTAGGCACTCGGCAAAGAATTTCTAATTTTTTTTTAAAAAAAATACTTTGCCGAGTGCTAACGGATGTATATTACATCCTACAGCTGTGTTCTAGCATCATCAGCATTGGTCAGCTGGATGAGCGCTGTAGCGAGGTACTGATCAAGGATGGAGTTCTTAGGATCCGGGACCAAGAGCAGTGACTTCTCGCCAAGGTGAAGAGGTCCCTAAACCGGTTGTACCTGCTTGACCTGAAGGTAGAGCAGCCGGTGTGCCTGTCGGCAAGGCACACCGAGGAACCGTGGCTGTGGCATTCCCGATTCGGACATCTCAGCTTCGGCGCGCTTGGTCGGCTGGAGAAGATGGTCTGAGGGCTACCCCACATCAAGCACGGAGACGAGCTGTGTGACACCTGTCTGGCTAGGAAGCAGAGGAGGCTACCATTCCCAAAGGTGGCCAAGTATCACGCGGAGAACGCTCTCGAGCTTGTCCACGGTGACCTCTGTGGGCCGATCACGCCAGCCACAAACGGTGGTCGACGGTACTTCCTCCTGCTCATGGATGATTACAGTCGCTACATGTGGGTGCAACTCCTGACGAGCAAGGACGAAGCGGCGGCGGCGATCAAGAAGTTCAAGATGCGCGCGGAGGCTGAGAGCGGCAAGAAGCTCCGCGTGCTGAGGACTAATCGCGGCGACAAATTCACTTCGATAGAGTTCACTATGTACTACGTGGATAAGGGTGTGGTGCGCCACCACACCGCGTCGTACTCGCCACAACAGAATGGCATGGTGGAGAGGCGGAACCAGACGGTGGTCGGCATGGCTCGATCTATGATGAAGGCCAAAGGCATGCCGGCAAGGTTCTAGGGTGATGCAGTGACTACGGTGGTGTTCATCCTCAACCGTGCTCTGGCCAAAGCCCTGACGGGCGAGACGCCGTTCTAAGCTTGGTATGGGCGCAAGCCGAGCATGTCCTTCCTCCGGACATTCGGCTGCATCGGCCACGTCAGGAAGACAAAGCCGATCCTCACCAAGCTAGAAGACAGGAGCACACCAATGGTGTTCCTAGGCTACACGGAGGGTCCCAAGGTGTGCTGGCTCTACAACTCATGCGGAGACAAGGTACTTGTCTCGCGTGACATCGTGTTCGACGAGAAGGAGGCTTGGGACTGGAATAGCCTGAGCACGGAGGAAGCTGGCGGCTTCACCAGCACCTTTGTCGTCGAGCACTTGGTCATCCACGGTGGTGGAGACGCTGGGGAAGAGGTGCCGAGCACTCCGGGAGGGGCGCCAAGCACTCCAGCAATAGAGCCGAGCACTCCTGGGGCGGTGCCAAGCACTTCGGGAGGGATGCCGAGCACACCAGGAGTGGTGCCAGAAGGTTCTACAGTGGTGGCGACCACTCCTGGACGGGTGCCGAGCACTCCCATAGTAGAGCCAAGAGGTCCTACAGTGGTGCCGACCACTCCAAGACTGAGGCTCAGCACTCCTACAGTGGTGCCCGAGCACTGTAGGAGTTATGACGAGCTGTCCCGGAGTAGTGCTGAGCACTATAACCGGGGTGCCGAGCACTCCAGGTGTTGTGCCGAGCACTCCGGCGGAATAGGGAACTCCATCGATGCCGATCGAGTTCACATCACCTCCAAGTGACATCACTGAGTTCGTGGATGCCTTCCACGAAGGTGAGGAGGTGTGGTTCCATAGGCTAGATGACATCGTCGGTGGCACAGGGCCCTCAGGCCTGGCTGGTCGGCTGCTCAATGACCAAGAGCTGCTGCTCGTTAGTGCAGAGGAACCACCCACGCTCGCGCTGGCAGAGCGCAATGGAAACTGGCGACGGGCGATGCTAGAGGAAATGATGGCGATCGAGGAAAACGAGATGTGGGAGCTCGTCGATCCACCTCCAGGATGCCGTCCGATCAGCCTGAAGTGGGTGTACAAGGTCAAGCGGGATGAGCTCGGTGCCATTGTCAAGCACAAGGCGTGCCTCATCGCCCGAGGCTTTGTTCAGCGCGAGGGCATCGACTTCGAGGAAGTCTTTGCGCCAATAGCGCGCATGGAGTCTGTCCATTTGCTACTAGCATTGGCAGCAGCAAAGACTGGCGCGTCCATCACTTGGACGTTAAATCGGCCTTCCTCAACGGCGAGCTGGCCGAGACGGAGCTGAAGGAGATGATCGGCATGGAGGGGTACAAGGGATAACAGTAGGATTAGGGGAAGAATTGTTAGATAATCTACTGCTTCCTTATGTGAACACACATCAAGGGAAGGCGACGGCGAAAAGGTTTCCTGCTGTGGTACTATAGCCGCTGCAGGGGCAGGCGCCGAACGGCTGACCTGCCTCACTGTAGCCACAGCAGGAGCAGGCGCCAGAGTCAGCCCTGCTATGTTATCTAGTCACTGTTGCAGCAGGACAGCTGTACTATGACTAGATGAGTAGAGTTGTATATATAGTTTGCCACTGCAACTCAACAAAGAGAGTTTAGATTTGCCATCTCCTATACAGGGCTCCGGCCAACGCTGGTGTCTCTGCTGTATGTGTATGCTCTGTTCTCCCTCTTCTTCTATCTCTGACCATAGTGTGTGGTCGGACAACGTCTGTTGTGCTCGGCCGTGGTCGGCAAGACTGGTGAGTGGTCGACTCATCTGAGCCGGTGATCCTGTGGGCTAACATCGGAGAGAGGCCAGTGCGGCAAGGTCTGCGCCTTACGAAGGCGCCAGAGCAGCTGCACCTGCTCCCATTCCGGAGTCCTTGGGGAGCCAGAGCAGCTGCACCTTGTGGAGCTTTGGCCTAACTGGAGGATGGAGAAGACATGCGTACATGGAGGAAGGAGGAGATGACGTTTGGGCCCTGCATGTCAATGAGATGGAGAGAGGGACTGTACAAGGGGTATTTTGGGACATACGAAAGTACAGACATCTACAGGTGGGCCACAGATCGTTGGAAGCATACTGAATCATAATGGCATGTTTACAATATCACGAATAGTAATGGTATTTCTCCAAACTTACAGAATTGTAATGGCATCATTTTCCAAATTCACCCAAGGTTTTTTTTGTGTCTGCTGTGTTTCAAAGGTCGTAAATTTTGTTTTCTAACGTAGTCGGCAGCTCTCAGCCTCATTGTTATAGAAAAAAGTATGCAAAGGGCAATGCTGATGAACGTGGCTTAGGCAATTCCCCAATAGCATGGCAATGCTGATGAAATTGAAGCTGCTATGCAAAGGGCTGCACCATAGTACATGCTATTGTGTAATGAGCAACTCGGCTACCATGGATGCGCCTTAGGAATTGTATGCAACTAATGGACAGCTTGCCAGTCCTTGGCTCCGTTTCATATGAATCGCCTGCGTCCCACATGTTCCCTATGCCTTCCAGGCCTCGTAGGAAGTGAAAGTGCCAAAGCAATGAACTTCCTCCAAGACCTCTACCCTTGATTAATCTATTTCGAATGTATACTGGGAGTCTTCCTCTGGCGCAACTAAAACTATCAGGTAATATCACGGACCATTGTGTTGGGGCTTGAAAACTTCAATATATATAGGAAACATTTACTACTTAACGTAATGTGAAAACACACAAATTTTGGAACAACCCAACTACCAAACGTACCACCACTTTAATGTTGTCCAATGACACGTAACCCCATCACTACCCCAGATCTTAACATCACTGTTGATTAAAAAAACCCCTTCACTGCTGGAATTTGAACCGACAGTGGCATACCGGTAGTGATGGGGGTTGACATCACTGCCGGTTCTTATCAACCGACACTGATGTGAAACCGGCAGTGACGTGGAAAGCCAAAAAATACACTATAAAATAGGAAATTTTTTTAATACCGGGAGAGGTCTCACCGGCAGCTACACGGGGCGTTTCTCAGTCCGAGGTCATTTAAAAAAAATCAAATTTTAAATTTTAGAAATCAAACGTAATTTTCGTTAAATAGATGATTTTCAATGAAAATATTTGGACATCCAAACGATCTCAAATTAAAAAAGTCACAAGTCACGCGATTTTTCGCGCGAAAAATGCGCGCTTCGCGGCCACCGGCGCTCAAACCCCTGACCTCCTGCTTTGCGTCTTTGGCCTTTAACCACTCCAACTGCAAGCTGTTTGTGTCCAAATGAGATTTTCGCCCTAACCATTTTATGTTCATCTGATTTTAAAATGTGTATTTGCGACTCTAAACGAATTCAAATGAAAAGGTTGTCAACTACAAAGTTATATAACTTTTCGAGATCTACAACTTTTATTTTGGTAGTTTCTACATTCGAGGTTGTTTACAAAATTTGAATTTCAAATTTCAGAAATTCAAACGTAATTTTTCATGACAAGATGATTTCAAATGAAAAAGTTGTCAACTACAAAGTTTCATAACTTTTCGAGATCTACAACTTTTGTTTTTGCTGTTTGTCTATCCGAGGTGGTTTAAAAAATTCAAATTTTAAATTTTTGGAAATTTAAACATAGTTTTCCTTGACAAAATGATTTCAAATCTAAAAGTTGTTAACTACAATGTTTCATAACCTTTTGGGATCTACAACTTTCATTTTGGTAATTTCTCCATCCGAGGTCATTTACAAAATTTGAA